AATAATATTAAAAATATCTGTATGGCATTATATTCTGCAGTTCTTCCCTGTTGTACCGAATATCTATACTTTTCAAATTATCATATCGAAGTTAGAAATTCAAATATTGTGACAAAATTATTTTGTGGGGTGCCACAAGTTTGTTAAAATTTCCAAAGGGTGCCGCGACTAAAAAAAGGTTGGGAAACACTGATCTAGACAACAATATCAGTACATTAGAATCCACACAAAACACTATCAATGACATACAAGTGCATGTTATCCACTGATGTATGTTAATTTGGTTAAAATTACTCTTCTAGCAAAAGCACCCTGATGTCATTGTAACTAGATAAAATAGATTAAATATGAGACATTACAAATTAAAGAGTACATTATGAGAGCTTCAACTGTAAATGCAGTAGAGATAAGTTAAATAAAATAAATAAAAACTGCCTATTTGTCTAACAACCTATTTGTAAATTCCTCTCAAAAAAAGTCAAGATGCTTAAAAGCACCCGCACTACAGCAATAGATGATTAGACAGATGTCTTTGCCCATTGCATCCTACTCTTTTTTTTTTTTTCCCTCAAAGATGGCATGTCAATAGTCTACCCTCTAAAAGGGCTTCTAGAGACGTCTCCATTTTTTTCCATTCCATTATCTTATGTAAACACTGCCTAAAGATGAACCCTAATTATATAAAGTTTTCTTAAAACCGATTAGCAACCTAGAGGAATAATCGATTGAATATATGTAGCTTTGCATATGATTCTAAATGTTTTTAACCTGCAAGTCTCATTATTCTATCCTGCTCAGTACTGCCCCCTACTGAGGTGTGACAGTTTCCCAAAATATGCCGACATATCCCTCTCCCCACACCTATATTATTGGTGAAATTCAACAAGAATGTCATCATGAATGATTCAGCGAATGGCCGAGAGAAATGGAACTCACTGGAATGTTGTGGTCCTTCCTTCCTTTGTGAGACGATGCAACGTGAGCCAGGTACTGGATGACTTTTTTGGTATTTTCTGTCTTTCCAGCACCTGATTCCCCTCTGCAAGAGAAAATTCCAATCAAAAGCAAACATAAAAATATCATTAGAATAATAAAATGCCCAAATAAAATAAAACACAACAGATTGGGTAGATATTTAAGTACATTTGCATTCCACAAGCTAAATTAAGCATCAGGCTGCATCCTGTATCACAGGTCAGCTAGCTTTGCTGGTGTTTTTACAGCTGCAGCTCCTTTCAGCAGCTAGGACTCTGAGGAGGATTTGGTCTATAGTGCTTGTGCATTACACAATGAGCTTTATTAAGTAAACATTAAAAGTCTTTTATAATATTACTGACATGCAAAATATGTTTTAATGACTTTTTATAACACAATGATATGAATGCAAGAAATATTGTTCTTCACACGTCTGATTCAAAAATTCTTCTCCCCAATCTGCCCATAAATGGAAAAAAAATCTTTAGAAAGACGGCCAAAGTTTTTCTACAAAGGCCAGTGAAGTCATTCACTTAACATTGGCTTCAATCAATAAAATATAACAGCAAAATCTAATACAAACGGGTGAACCACACAAAAACCTATATACTATATGTGTGTATGGTCGCCGTGATTTTGCAAAGACATGTTCCTGGATCAACATTACTGTCAAAAAATACAGACTTAACCCAATCCCTACCCCTAAACTTAACCTTACCCATAATTTATTCCTAAAATCAGTGTGAAATGATAGCTCATTAACAAGGGTGTAGAAGCACCTAATCCAGATTGTAAGCCTAAAACTGACATTTCCTGAAAAGTTATCTCTCAATTCTGATTGGTTAATTGGAATGATGTTCCTGGATCAACAAGAATGTTGATCCAGGAACATGTTGTACTTGGTGAAATCACGCTCACCATGTGTGTATACAGGGCTCGAAATTGCGACCATTTTGGTCACATATGCTCCCGAAATGTAATCTGTGCGACCCCAAATTATATTTGTGAGCATTTGTGCGAGTGCAAATAATTGCTGTGGTGCGACCGGTCTTCATTTTTCTGCAAAACATTTGTGAATTAGTGCACAGTATGTGCCTGCTGTGAGCTGATACAATGACCATTTCACCATTCTATCCAACATTGCATATCCCATTCTCTAAACAACCAATGAAGAGTATTTTATGAGAACCTCAAATGCATATACAATACAGGTACGCTATAACAAAATGAATTGTAAAGCACTATATACATTGACCCCAGCTACAGCAATAGATGATTAGACTGACATCTTTGCCAAATGCATAGCATCCCACTGTTTATTGAGTTTAAGATGTCATGGAAACAGCCTATCTTCTAAAAGCATCACTTAAAACTCCTGCATTTTATTCCATTGTGAAAAAAGAAAATATCCTCATGTTGCTCAAAACTAGCAAGACGTAGGTTATTATTTGGAATCTACTAGAAAATTCTGTAAAACAGTAAAGGCTTTCAAGCTTCAAAAAGGATAATAAAAAGCATTATAAAAGTAGTTTGTATGACTGTACACTATATTCACTTCTTCTGAAGCCATAAATTGTCTTCATTCATTTATACGCTGTTAAGTGCGAGATTCCTTAACCCTGCATTCTAGCTACAGACATATGTCTTCATAGTGGGTGTGCAGAATGGCATGTGCTGCAGTGGTATCGACTTTGAGAGACGATGTTAAAACCCACTCTCATAACCTCTTACAGTGCCACTAAGACATGAGAGAAGCTGTTTACTTATTTACAATGTGCAAAGACAATAATTCAGGCTTAATGCATCAAAAGCTCACATTTCTATGGATGAATTCTTATAGGCTGACTAGAAATATTTGCCGTGGGTCTGACTCACACTGTGAGATGCTCTTCATGCCGAACAGCTGCAGCTACTGATATTTAATACCGCAATGATACATGACTCATGTTTTCAGGCATAGCTGTACATGTATGATTCCAAAAAAGCCCATTCCTGTGCAGCACTGGGGACGTGACATCACTTCCATCAGCCCCGACTGATTGACGTAACCTGTAACTGCTGAATAAAGATGACCTAATTGTTACTCACGTGCAAAGAATTGATTGGTCCTCACGATCTGCAAAAAAGGAGACAGAGAAAAAAAATGGGTCAGCATTTTCAGTTCAGTTCACCTGAGCCTTTAATTCAAATCAATCCACTTTGACATTTAAAAGAACCTAAAACAGCAAAAGACAAACATTTCACCACAAAGTGATTTATCAGAAACAAACAACACATGTACATTGATGCAATCTTGCAAAAGAAACTAAAAACCTATTTTATGGTTTATTCCTACCCAATTATTATTACAATCTCAACCCTCTACATTGCGAGTAAATCACTCGCATATGCGACTAATCTTCACTCTGGGCGACTAAATGATGTCTAATATTAGCCACTGGCTAATAAATTCTCAGATTTTACTCGCCAGTGTGTGAGTTGGACGCTAAGTATAAGTTTAGCACAGATATATTTTCACTCGCCGAACACACTGACTGAGCGCTTTAGAGTTTCACTCTCCGTCAAACAATCTGTGATATTTCTCAGTTCATCTGAATGGATGTGCAATGCACCTGTGTTTGACATACCGTGAACTCTAGTGTAAAGGCACACACCTTGTCTCACACACACGCAGAGAAAGAGAGAGCGCGAGAGAGTCTACATGCAGAATTGACGCGCTACATGTAAACGATATTCTTTGTTGTATTTTCCGGTCAAAATAACGCCGTTCCTTTGGAATTCTTCAGCTCATAAGAACTGCCGGGTTCTCCGGTAGTGGGCGGAACTAATGCACAAGCGACAATCTCATTGGCTGACGCTCACCTATTATCATCCCTGTTTTGATTTCAGCAAATCAGTTCGAGCGAACGCACACAACCTGATTAATATCCAGCAGCTCATTAATCCTTGCAGAACCGTGCATTTTATATTGTTCTTATTAGTAGAATTCTAGGTATTATTATTATTATATCAGTATTATTGTTAGTTTTTCCACATTTTTTTTTACAGAAACACTGAATAACCAAAAAAGCAGCACCACCAGTCCTAAGTTCAGTTAAAATGACTAATATGCATTCATACATGGTTTTAATTCTAATTACCGGTACTAAAGTTCTACCATTAAATAATACTTGATTATCATATAATGCTTGACTGACTGATGTTAAGAATGTAGTACTTTCAGATTTTTAAAAAGCTGTGCCATTTTACAAACATTTATTTATTTATATATATATATATTTAAAACACACACACACATGCATATATGGTATATCAGTCTGGCGAGTAAACT